CTCTGCCTACTGAGAGTGCCTCCTCCGTGGGTACCTTGGTGAACAAACTCACCACGTCCAAGCTCACCATCTGATTGGATAGGATGAGAGCATCTTTGATTATTTCCACGAAATGGGCGGAGTTTCGGACATATGAAAGAGACTTTCCGATCAATGGGTCAATTATATCTACAAGGAAGCGACTCAGAGGGTGGCACACCGAGCCTTGGCAACTAACAATCGGCCTGAGCGGAATACCGTCTTTGTGAATCTTAGGGAGACCGTATATGTGAGGTAGCTTGGTGTAATGCTGCGATAACTGCCTATACGTATTAGGTGCGAAGTGATCCTTATTCTTGATTAGGATCTGTGACAATTTGCGTTCTGTTTTCATTGTAGCATCCGTTTTTACTTTGCTGTAGCTACCATATCTAAGTCTTCCAGCTTTCTTGTATAATCTGATTTGTCCATCACTACAGTCGCATTGCTTTTGTCAGCCGTGTGAGTCGTTAATATATAATATCTACGTAAAATATGTTTAAAGATATTGATTTTGCAAAGGAATCCGCAGCATTTAAAGATTTACTATGTTTAGCGTTTTTACCGTTTTATAATGAACCCTTAAATAACGACCATCGTCGATTGATATTTCATTTCAGATCATCAGATACCATGAAAGGATTCAAACCTTCTTTTAATATGCTAAGATACGGGCATCATCCATTCTGATTTGAGGCAAACAGGCAATTTGGCACTTGACAATGATTCATGAGGTTACTATTTCTTTGAAATCATTTCGGCCCAAGCAAGTCAATAAGGCCATTAACACGTAAGAAGATTACTGAATGTTAGAGAATATGAGAAAAATATTCTTAAGGATAGAGAACAATAAAAAAAAATATGAATTAAAAAAACATAAGATAACAACTGACACTGCGTTTAAAATTGTGAAGATAAAAATTTACTGGAAACTTAGAAGCCTGAATCGATAAGTGCCAGATAAAAATCTGTTAGCATAGAACTTACGGTCACATCTAGCCATTTCAACTGTAAAACGATGAGATCTTGTTGCTAACCTAGTATTGCGTTTAAATTCACAAAGCCGAGCTACGATAATGAAAGTTCATCAGAACAATTACCATGAAAGTATTTATAGAAAAGACAGAGGGAAGCTACATCATGGCGGTAGGAAAGTGAGTGAAACCTAGATGCCAGGTCAGGATCGATAACATTGCAGTTTCTTTTTTTGATTTTTATCAAGAATCACTAACTATATAGCAGGAACACGAGATCATATGTGGCAGCAAAGCAAGGACGAATAGTAGACTTATAAATGTAAGATAGATTATAGGGAGAAAAATGTAAGATGACTCAGTGAACCAACTTTCCTAACAGAAGACCAAGAAATTGATTCAATATAATATTGCCACCTCATGTCATCGAAAAACCGAGAAGACACAAGTCACTCGCCTGGAGGTTAGCATCAGCCATGCTGATGGAAGGCAGAATAAGGTCTCTCAGACGATTACTAGAAAGCAGTTTCATTTTGGAGTAGTTAAAATAAATAAGTCATTCTTTGCCTCAGTTAACAATAAATTGTTGGTCATTTTTTATACCAGCTACCAATTTGAGCTTCTGGGACCAATCAGATTTAGTATTAAGACTGAAGTAAATAGTTTTGTCATAACCCTAGATACCGATTTGAGAACAGATGACATCAGTAAGTTCATTTACTTGGATTCATATGGTTACATCATTTCCTGCAGTATTTGTCAGCAAATAAACCAGAATGAACAAGCCGGTGCCATGTCTGCAAGCATACTTCTCGAAGAGAAAAGATGCAGAAAATGTGGCGAGTCTGTCACTGCTCTATCGCTTCTTCTACAGAACAGACCTAAAATGGAGTTCTGCTACCATATTTGGACGGGAGTTGCCCAGTCCTCGTCTTCCAGTTTTGATAGAGTTCAAAAGCATCTGTTCTTACTGGAGAATAATTATTTTTCACCCTCCAAACTCTCTGTTAACCGCTATCTTCCCCTCCTACGCATATAAACTACCTCTTAACGTAATCCTCTACCTCGAGTGGCCCCCGGGCCTTGTACAGGGAGAACCTTACTGTAAAAAAATGTTCGAAATGAATGTTGATTGGTCGCATTTGTCACACATATTTAAGGTTTATTTTTAAAAAGCTGTTCGTTGTGATGCATAATTAAGAAAGCAAATACTCAGAACTAGAAATATGTTTGTAAGTCGAGATACCGGCTTATGGCAATCAGTGCATTTCAGCCATTTTTGCCTCATTTGTCCTTCAGGATTTGTGGAATTCGGAATTTTTTTTGTCTGTCAGAGGAAAAAAAGTCTTCCTTATCAAATTAATCATTTGGTAATTACGTTGCTGATTGGCGCGCCATTAAATTCGAATTGCAGTTCGATTATATTCGCACTCAGAAACCTTATTCATTCTGGCCAGGCGTTGACGTTAAAAAATGTTTTTTGACTAATCTTGTTTGTTTGTTTTTTTAATATATTTTCGAGGAGAGGGAGTAAATTATAAAGAATAGACGAAGTGTAGAAAAACAAGAAATGTATCGTCAGGAAACATAAAAGAAAACTAAATAAAACAAATAAAATAGAAATACTATTTTATGTTAGAAAAGATATAAGGAAATATCTCTCAACAAACATTAACTAGTGAAAATTATTGAATTACGTAAATCTTAAAGCGTTCGATTCATTTTACACACCTGATAAATATTAAATCAAATGAGACTCTATTTTATTTGTATAGAGCAAGAGTGGCCAAACTTGCTTAATGTAAGGGTCACACACGATAAAATTCACATGTTTTAGAGTCGCATGACATGAAATTAGGATTTAAATTCTTAAAATTTTATACTAACCATGAACATTAAAATTTCGTTTTAATCCAATGGCGTCTCAATTCATACCCAGTAAATAATTATAAAGCTTGAAATTTTTCTTATTTACATTTTATATTAATTATGATGAAAAAAGGAACTCAGCCAACATATTTCCACAAGCGGCATATTAAAAGTCAAAGAGATGTATGTGGCTCGCAAACCTCGGTTTGGCCAACCCTAGCCTAGAGAGTCTATGACTTTCCTGTTCTTGATCTATGATACATAACTTTTCAAAAGAATTTATAGAAAAAGCATGGGCGGTGGGTGAATATGGTTTTATCATTAGTGTTTTGGAATGATGGCATAAATGATACAAGATATATCAGGTGTAAAATATATCAGGTTAATAATACGCAGGTACATCAATAAATCTATAGTCCAACGGAAAAAAAGGAAACTGTTATTTTAGTCATCAAAGCCTTTTGTCAATGCACTTGATTCAATCGTGAAAATTAATTACAAATTCAAATATACAGTGAAAATGTCAGATCGATATTCAGCTAATAGCTGTACTACTGACCTTATTGATCATGTGTGTTGAAAGAAAGATTATATTTACCCCTTATGAAAGTGAAGATTTTTAATTATAAGCATTGAAAGAAGAAGAAGAAGAAGAAGAAGAAGAAGAAAAAGAAGAAGAAAAAGAAGAAGAAAAATGAATTTAAAAACGAGGAGGATGAAAGGGAAGAAAAATAAAAGGAGCGAGGAAAAATGTAGAATAAAGAGCGAAGGAGGAGGAAGAAGAAGAAGAAGAAGAAGAAGAAGAAGAAGAAAAAGAAGGAATGAAAGAAAGGAGAAAGATGATTATCATAATGAAAGACGAGAACTAGTACGAAAAGGATGGTTTAAAAAAGAGGAGTAGAATGAGGAAGAAGAAGGATGAAAAAGAGGAAAAAAGAGTAAGACAAGGAAGTAGTAGTACAATTAGGAAAAAAGTAAAGTAAATAAAGCCTAAAATGAAGAAGAAATAGAAGGAAAAGAAAAAAAAAAGAAAAATTAAAAACAGAAGAAAGAATTAGGAAAGATAATCAAAAGAATGAATAAATTTAAGAAAATAAAGAATGAAAAAGAGGAGGAAGTGATAAAAGAAGGAAAAAAAAGAAAAAAAGAAAAAGAGAAGAATGAAGTAAACAAGTAACGAAGGAATGGTAGGATATATAAAGAGGAAGAAAGTTCAAGAGAAAACAAATAAAAGAGAAGAACAAATCAAATTTTTTTAAAAATAACGAAAAAAAAGAAAATAAATTTTAAATATTAATATCCAATTTAACTTTACTGAGAATACGCGCATGCGCACACACATAATTCCTTACGAATGAAAAAAAAAGAAAAAAAAAGAAAAAGTCCAACTTGAAAATGTTTAAGTTGAAACGAAAATTATGGCGCTTTCGGAAGGTCAACGCCGCGCGCGAGCAGATAGGAATGTCGCATGACAAACAGCTGCCGATTATAACTTTTAATTACTCAAAGGCTGTAGCGACATCAGCGGCCATCTTGGTTGGTTAAACATCTTAAACGCAGGAAGCCGGATGAAGGAAATCAAGTAAAGTGTTTTAATTCCAACCACCTGACGTAATTGGTCATAAGAAGACGATATTTATTTGGTTCTGTTTTGCTTCGTTTCAATTTTATTAATTTTGGCCAAGAATTAATTCTATTAAACCTGCCCGACTACATCAAGTCACTTATTACCAAAATTACTCAAGCAAAAACCAACAAAGAAATATGGTAAAAATTCAAAAAAAGAAAAAAGGACAAACTTTTAAGTCGTAATAAAAATCAATTGAACACTAGCATATTCTTTGCTGTAATCAAAATATAATTTAGTAAGAGAGAAAGATTTTTCCTCGCCCTCCGCCACGCGCAAAATTGAAAGTGGCTGGCGAGCAAATGTTTAAATAATGATTGATAATCATAGTTTTCTAATGATTTGAACTGAATATTTATTTATTCATTTCTTTTTCCTCGTCTGCAATTCTCCGGTGATGTATTTTGTGGAGACTGTCGCTGAAATAGTCAGCGGGTGCGATAAGCTGTTTAAAGTTAAACTTATTGTCGTCATCCCCTCTGCCGTTGTCAATCAGGGTGGCAACTCGGTGACTAAGAGACGACAAATGTCCATGTGGGTGCAGATGTGAACATCGGGAGATAGATAGATAGATAGATAGATAGATAGATAGATATGAACAGACAAACAGATAGGCAAAGGTAGATAGATATAAACAGATAGAAAGATAGATAATGAAAAGATAGATCGATAGATAGACATGAGCAGAGAGATAGATAAACAAAGATAGATAATGAAAAAATAGATCGACAGATAGAAATGAACAGATAAATAGATAGATAGAAATTAACAGATAGATAGATAGATAGATAGATAGATAGATAGATAGATATGAACAGATAGATAGATAGATAGATATGAACAGATAGAAAGATAATGAAAAGATAGATCAATAGATAGACATGAACAGATAGACAAAGATAGATATCAACAGACAGATAATGAAAAAATAGATCGACAGGTAGATAGAAATGAATAGATAGATATGAACAGGCAAAGATAGATATGAACATATAGAAATATAGATAATGAAAATATAGATCGATAGATAGATAAACATGAACAGATAGATAAATATGAACAAATGGATAGATAAACAT